ATTTTTATAGATTTTCTTATCTAAGTGAAAAGTTTGCTTAAATTGTGTTTGTAGGAGGAATAACTTTATTTATCGTGATTTTCAAGGGACTGAAAAAACTTGAATCACAAAAACTAATTGAAAATGAAGATCTAACACTTCAAATTGATGGTAGCGCTACTTCAAAAAAAAAAAAAATAAATAAATAAATAAAAATTCTTCTTCCAAGAACACTTTATGAAAAAAAAAAAGTTTTCTTTTTTCATTGTGTACTAATGAGTATTTTTTATAATTCATGTTACTTTATATCTTGTTAAAATTGCAATTTAATTCTTTTTATTTTAATTGTGTCATCATAGGGAAAGTTTTGCAAAGGGATAATTTTTAGATATTAGTTAAAATTTTTCGGCGAGGGGGGGATGCAACATAAAAAGCTTCTATTAATCTTTTTATGTTAGTTTCTTCGCTATAAAACAACTCCTACTTTTATTACTAATAAATTATTTAAATCGAATTGCTTTCTCACACTTTTAATAGCTACATCCTGTTTCTAATTCTATTTTTGGCCCAACTATGCATAAATTTACGTAGAGACTTTTTTCCCTTTTAAGCCGTGGGAATCACTCGAGCAAGCTCATTAACCAATAGTAGTAATTTCTAAGATTTCCCTCTATTTCCTAAATAGAGACATTTTCGGATTTTTGCAAGATTTTCCTTACCAGAAAGACTGATCCTGAATGGAGTTAACATCACTTTTCGCTGGTCTTCCATAAGAACACGATCTAAATAAAATACATCTGATTTCATTAAAATCCTGTGTCTGTTTCCCTGCTCGGTCCGACTGTACCATTTCACACACACATATATATATATATAAAATGAAATAAAAAAATTTAAATTAAAAAAATATCAACTTTTTAATGGTTTTGGTTGAAAAAATTAGAAATAAAATATAACGAGTAACAAAAAATAGAGTTGATATAGTTTGAATTAATTTTTTGGGAACACTTTTCGGTTCGTTTAATGAAATCATCTTAATGATGACCATGGACTTGCTGGTATAACTTATTTATTTCATGAATCTGGGTTATATAATTATTTACAATAAGATACAAAAATATATATGAACTGCAGAATGCAATATTCCGTAGCTCTACTGCTCCCTTCTCGTTCATACTTTCTCTACATTCCCAACTCTTCTACGTTCAAGCTAATACTAACTAAAAATTCTCTTTCTCACAAGAAAAAGTCCTTCGCTCCACCCCAAATGTAGGGGAACGACACTTCCCGTGTCCCTTACCTTCTGACCCTCAGGTCAGGGGTCAATCAAATGCGTTTGAGAGGAATCAGGATCCTGACAATGTTCATTTTAAATAAATTTTATATTAAAATGAGTAACAAGAATTTACGTTATCGGTATTAATGATAGGACATTACAAGCTAACTTCAAGGAATATAGTTTCAATAATTTAAAAAAAATAAATATACGTAAATAAATTAAGAGGATGCAATTTTTAAAGAAAACAGATGATAAATCAGAGGTTTTCAAATAAGAATAACAACATCAAAAAGCCAATAATAATGCCCAAAAAACCATTGATAACAATGATAATAACGTTCGAATAACAATAACAACATCATCATCACCCAACCATGACCAAGCACCTAACCCTTTTTTCAGAGTTCTATTTTTTTACTGCCATGGTAGGAATGCTACGAATTTTTGACCCTGGTCAGACGATGTGGTCGGCTCCTGAGCTGATACCCCTCTCTCCAAACTTCCACACCTCAAATCAACGAGAGGACTTTCAGCCACGACAGATTTAACGTGCACTTTGCATTTTGTCAGCAGCCAGGATCGAACTCACTGTCTCCAACTCTCCAACCAACGCTGCGAGTGATGCCATTTTAAAATAAAATGAACATAATACCTGGAAAATCAACTGAGACTTCATCACCTCGATTTTGATTAGGTAGGTAGGTACTTTATTTACGTCGCACTAGAGCTGCACAACGGGCTATTGGCGACTGTCTGGGAAACATCCTTGAGGATGATCCGAAGACACGCCATCGCAGTTTTGATCCTCTGCAGAAGGGATGGCTCCCCTGCTTCGGCAGCCCGACGACCTGAGCGCGAAGTCGAACACTTTACGGTAGAACAGTTAAACGAGGACCGATACCACGCACCCTCGGCTCCTACGCAGGCGAATCAAAGTGGTCACCCACTCGCTTACTGACCGCAACCAGTGATGCTTGACTTTGGTGTTCTACTGGGAACCGTGTCTTTACGATCAGTTCCCTGCGAGACCGATTTTTTGTTAAGTTACTAGAAATATTTCATTTCTTATTTCCTTGAGCAAAACCATGCGTTGTTTCTTATTTAAAAAATATAAAAATTAAATTATTTTATATTAAGTTTAACTTTGCTTAGTGCCCTCTCCACTGAACAATTATTGTTGTTCAGTTAGTTGTTAATGAAATTACAAGATAATCGGAAAACAAGATGTTATGTAAGTAAAATGGTTCAATAAAACTTCTTTATGTTCGTCTTTTTCTTCTGCTCTATTAAAAGGTCATCCATGCTGACATTATTTTTCAATTCTTTGTAAGCTGATACCAAAGAATTTGATTCTTATACCGTTAATATACAATCTAAGCAAAATGCATCAATTCCATCTTCTATGAAAGAAAACTTTTCAACACACAAGGAACATGGATTTGTTGCGTAATAACTTAGATTTCTCCATCACCTTTTTCAAATAAAATAAAGATGTAATAAAAATTATTAAAATAGTAGCCCCAACGACAAATATTTTAAAAAATAGTCCTTCACCTTAAAAGTTAATTAAAACTACTGTTTTATTTTAATACAAAAATTATATTCCTTAAATTTTATTTACGGTTTTTAAACCACGAAAAACATATTTAAAAAAAAAGAATGACCTCCTCTAAGAATAGATAAGGTGACTTATCCCCCCCCNCCCCCCCCGTAGGAGCACCCCTGATTTAAGTTTATAAAATAATTTAAAAATCTAATATAGAAAATAATTTTCAATGCTTTTATCAAGCGATCAAATTGTTTTTAATGATTTTAATTCCCTTTTTATATTTTGGGATGAGAAAATAATCTTGACTTGTTTTTTGACAATAAATATTTATTTTCAAAAAAACAGAAGATATATTATTGTCAAGACTGGGCATAAGTTTTATTTCTGTTATTTCTATATAAAAGAACTCTCGACTATTTTCTTTGAAAAAAAAAAATTAAAAAAGCTCTAAATTTTTTGTAAAGAGCCAAGCTCTAAAGCACCCCCTCCCCTCCATTGAGCACGGCATTGTGTCAGTAATAACAGATAACCCCAATGCAATCGAAAATTCCTTTTCGAATTTCAAATATTTTATTTCAGTTAATATCATATATCAGATATTTTTGAAAATCATTAAGTTTATAATAAATAATTTTAATGATTAATTCATCTATCAACCATATTTATAAAATTTTTATTTTCAAATGGATTCGAATCATTCGCAATTAAAAATTAAATCTAGATTTTTGCTTTAATTGCTCGTTTATTTATTAATATTCATACGACAATAAGTGCAACCAGTTGTAGGTAATTAAGATTTGAACAGGCCAATTACATACATATTAATTAATTGCACTTTTCATGCCGTGTAAGCTTTTTTCTTAATAAAGTTGATGAATCGATTGTTTCAACAAATGATTAGTCTCAATAATAAAATAAGCTGCTTAAATAAGATGGCCCACTTTTATTCATTCCGCATTTTATTTTACTCTTAATTTGAATAATATTTTTAATAAATCAGTGCATAAATAAAAATTACTACTTAAATAATAGGTCACCTTGATAAAGCAATAATTGTCGTCTGGTGAAGAGAAAAAGAATGGTATTGTAATGACATCTAGTGACTAAAAATTGAAATGGTGTTGTTGAAGAAGCAGTTGTCTGCTTTCGAAGCATTGGCTGAGTATAGTATTATATTTTCTTTTCACCTTATTTGAATAGTTTGAGGTGCGAATAAATATTTTCTAAACATAAATGTCAATTTTTTATGCAATTTTATTTGCTTCATATTTTTTTTATTAAGTTCCTTTGGTAATGAAGGGTAACGGTAAAAGTCAAGTTAGAATAAATTTCTTAAAATTTATATTTGAGTGTAAAATGACGTCAGGCCTAATGACAACATTCTGAAACATCATTGCACTGTAATGTATTACTGGGCTTAGTGATTCGTTTATTTTATTTTACATAAATGCAGGTTTATTTTAACTTTTAATTCTCGAATAATTATGGTTTTCCCTGAATAATTAATATATTTTATAGGGAAATTAGCCTATTTTTACTTATTTTCATATTTACCTGAAATGTAAACAAATGTCCTGTACGATCACAGACTCCGTTAGAAGCTGCAAGTGCCGGTAGGGGCTAATGTCCGAAAACTTGTTGACCGAGTGGTTGTTCGGTCAAGTCTAAAAGAGAAGGACCTGCGTGTCCACTTCATATACAAAGACACGTGGTTATACACGTGTTTTTATTGCCTCTTTTTTTTTTTTTAACTGACTTCGGAAGAAGTTAATATTTAATTTCAGGTCTTAAATGCAATTAATTTTCTCGCGTTAATTTTATTACAAATGTTTTTTCAAAATAATATTGATATTTTTATAATTTCACTATGTTTTCGTTACTTGCCGGCTTATATTAAAAGGGGTGTTCATTTTTTTTCTAAAACGATGAATACATATTTCGTTATTTTTCATTTATATTGTTTTCATTAGCCATGAGTAATTTGTAAATCAAATTTCACTTATACTATAAATAATCTCTGATATATATTTCGACCACTTCACGCTTCTCACTTTTAAATAAATGATGGTTAGATTGATAGTCATTGAAAGTTGCATGCATAATATGAAACATGTAATAACATTGTATAATATGAAATTATAATTTAAGTGATATGCTTTATTTTCATATTTTGACTTAATAAATACAATTTATAATGATTTGGACCACCAATATATTAGTTATAAATTAATCATATGTGCAGACTTTGATAAAATGAAAAATTTTCTGCAAACACCAATTCTGAACTAAAAAACTTTCTACCAGCAATTATTGACTCTTGTTAACTAGTTTCAACCTTTTTGTTGCCATCTAATGTTAATGTTGAAATTTGTTCAAAAGTCAATGCTTTTTTTCAAAGTGTTGTGATTTTTTATAAAACTCAGATTACTATATATCGGCATAATTAAAATTTTTTTTTTTTTTAATGTAGCAGCTTTTTGGAGGTATAGAACTAGTTATTGACTTAAAAATTTTCTGTTCTTGTAATCAAATTTTCTTAAACTGATTGCGGAGTTAGAGTATGGAAATTTTGACTGTTTTTTAATTTTTATAAAGAGTAAAGTTAAAAATCTTCCCGCAATAGTGAAAAATCGCACATTTGTGTATATTATGCATTTCTGCATGTATTTGTTAAAAGATGATAATCAGACGATGGAATGTATACCCATACAGCTACTAATATCACAGGTATATCCAAACATATCTGTCACGTAACCAATGTTTATAGAGGTTTAAATACGTTGAAGTATGTGGATTTAGACTTCTCTGAGATATAATTTATGGATATTTGGAGGTATCCAGATATATCTTAAATCCTAGATATGGATATTTTACATATTTCTTGAATTTTTACTATTGATATGTTTTCGATATTTGGATGTTTTTAGAATGTTTGAGAGATGTTTCAAATTATACTTAATATCCGAGACAGATCCAGTTTTTGGATAGAGATTAAAATTTTTGTACATTGATTGGATTTGCCCTATTTATAAGTGTAAAGAACAATTGTTATTTTCAATTTAGAGTTTAATCCAATAAATAATATTTTAACTGGTGACCTCAATTATTTTTTATTAGCATTTCAATGTAAGTAAATTTGAAATCTTATACTGGTTCACTTTTCGCTTAAAATTTATCATTACTCATAATTGTGATGATGAATTTCAGATGCACCATCTCCTTGAATCTACTTGTTTCTCTCATTTCATTTGGAATTTAAAATGTATTAAGATATTTACCTAAAAGTGCCAATATATATATTTTTTTAATGTCGCTTAATATTGTTGCTATATTGTTCAAAATTTTGATTTTAAAAGTGATATTATTATGTTTTTTTCTTTAAAAGTGATATTACTCTTTTTCTTTCCCAATTTTAGCCAGTTTTTTTCTCGTTTTTATTTACTTTTTGGTAAGGGGGTACATAAAATATTTGATATATGAGACACAAATATAAACTTTTTGTGAGACTGCATTTGTTTTGTCTTTTACATGACCAGTGCACACAACTTAGTTGCAGTAAAATCTATTTTTAAAAAAACATTAATAGAATTCTTCTATAACAAGTAAGTAGGAAGCTAGAAATTTAGCTTGTTTAAATAAATGTTTTACTAGCCGTTAACGAAATCTTAAATACGTATTAGTTTAATTGAAATTTATTTAATATCTATTACTGATGATTTTATCTATCATTATAAAAAATGCAATTCAAATAATATAATTAAATTTGAACACAATAAACAATGTGAGTCATAATTCACTTTTTTATTTGTTTTGTTTGCAAGATTTTGACATATTTCATAATTATAAAATTTTAATTTAATAATTAATCTGCAACTCATGGTATTTAAAGTCCGGATGAAAGCTTTGAAAGTAAAAAAAAATGTCTAATTAAAAAAAGAAGATAACATTTAATATCAAATATATATTGGGGCAATTTTCTTCTTTTGATCTCCACATGAAAAAGGAATTATTAATACAGTAGAGGAGAGGGGGGCACCTTTCAACAGCTTAAGAATTATTGCTTAAGCTTAAGAATTATTGCTTTCCTTTTTGCTTAAGAATTATTTCATAAAATAATAATAATGAATGAACATATTGGATTGATTTAGGTTTTTTTCTACATTATTTTGTCTTTAATAAAATCTTTAGTTTACAGAAAATGTCATGAAAAATACAGCTCGAGCTGTTACTCAGCTTAAACTTGATTTAGGCAGTTTGATTTTAATGTCATTTCTTTCTATACTACTAATATCCTCTTTTTCTGGAAAATAAAGCATTGATTAAATAATAATGCTTCATGCTTCCTCACTCTCCAGAAACTACCTGTCCCACCAGACGAGCTCCTTGGTTGGCAACGACATTCGGAGCTGGAACAACTGTTAAAACTCCAGTTTCATCCAAGTTATATATTTGATCCACTGTAAAATGACCAGAAGTATGAGCTCTGTCATAATTGGTGAAAAATTCTTCAACATTTTCTTTATTGAAAGCTGTAGCTCTTGCGAAGCTGATGTTTTCCGGTTTTCTTAAAGTAAGCTGTGGGTGACACTTCATAGAACCTTTAACTCAGTCAATTCCAGACATTTCATTTTTGTCCCAGCTACTTGGAATTTTGGAGTTGACACGCTTTGCATAATCATAGGCAAGTTGTGGAACTTGTCAGTAAGTTAGACCATAATTTAGAATTGAACATGTAATTATGTATTCACAAAGCAGAGTTTCTTGCTGGACATCAAAAACTTGTGTAAACTTTTCAATTTTCTTAAAATTAAATTATTTTCACTCTAAATCAAATTTTCTTGAATATTTTTATAAAATAATTATTTTATTGACGCTTTTAATGAATTCTTTGTAAATAAATTCTATTTTCAACAACAATGCAACTAACTGAATCTTGATTTTAAGCTTCTAAAAAAATTTCATATAACTGAACATTTTTTACAAACATACTTCTTTTAACACATTCACATGTTTTTCCAAAAATTTAGAATACTGCCTTACAGAAAAAGTTGAGTAGTTTGAATGTAACAACCATAATTAATGGGCTGTTTGCAGACTAATGACTTCTGAAAGATTACTTCACAAAAAAAAATAATAAGCCTGGGGCTCCTTTCAACACTGTTGAAATGTGCCCCCTAAGCTCTGTTGAAATCTGCCCCTGGTACAGACATTTTGGTTGAAGTATTATCAGCCACTTAAGAAAAAGACTTTTTACTAATAAATAATACAGTTAGAAGCAGAATTAATAATCTAGCAGATGAATAAATATCACTTACCTTATTAAAAGATTACTGATAGATAAACAGTTTTAAAATCAAAACTGTCTTTTTACTTTTGGAATGTTAAAACATGTTCCACGGAGTAACGCAACAGCGGTAAAAAGAAAGTGCTTAAAACTAAATGTCAACAGTTATGCGTAGTTAAAGCTTATTGTCTGGTATATTGGAAAATCATTAAGCAATATTAGAAGGCAGAAATTCTAGTTGTTGAAATGTACCCCTCTCTCCTCTACCTATATCACGTTCCTATATGAGTATCTTTGGAAGCTTATATCAGAGTGCCTATTTACACAAAACCAGTTGTACCAAATTCCCCCATTAAATAAATATCGATGACGTCAATAATAGTTAGGTGAATTTATTATGCTCCTAAAGGTCTTACATTTTACATTTTTTCAGATTTATGAAGGTTAGTGTTAAAAATAAACATTTTAAATTAAAATATCTTGACACAATTGCAATACATAAAATGTCTAAATTGTAGGAAAAACAGTTATAATTGTAATGCTCATTAAAGCACATTTTGATTTTCGTGATTCAAATTGAATTTTGAAAATTAAGTGTTCTTCAGTAGGTAACTGCTGATAATCTAATAACAAAAAGTTTGTTAAAATCTTTTTTTTTTACAGTAATTGTTTATTTAAGTTTATACTGCATAATAAATCGCTGTACAAAACTTATTTAGTTTATCTTGATACTAAATTTAATTTTATAAAATTATTATGTTTAAAACTAAAAATGTAAAATGTTTTTTTACAAATTTCAGTATTTTTTCGTTACTTGGGGTGCAAGGAAATAACTTTTTTTAAACCTTTTTTCTATTTAATGTTTTTGTGAATGTCCATTATGTTCAGTTTTTTTAAAAATAAGTAAAACAAGAATAAATCAATAAAAATAAAATTCATCTTAATTTCTATTATTATTATGCTAAGCATATTCATAGTTCTCCCTAGGAATTAAAAAAGACAGGGTGATAACTGAATTTGATCCTCAACAATTTTTAAATTACCCTCTTATGCTATTTTATGCCTATTATAATAATCAGAAAAGTAATTCTCATTCATTATCAAAATAGGAGAAAATTTTGTTGTTCATAAAAAATAATTAAAAGCCATGCTTTAAGACAATTACTGTGCGCAATTTTTTTTCAAAAAAAGTTAACTAAAAAAAAAGGATTAATGGATAAACTTGAAAGCTTTTTTCTAAAATTTCATCTGAAAATTATGAGAAAATTAACATTTAAAGATGCATTTTTTTTAAAAAAAGATATTTATTTAAAAAATAATTTTTGAATTTAAAATCATTTATAAAAAATTAATAAACCCCCTGAAAAAGAAAAATTTATAAGAATTAAACTAGTTGATAATAATTCTAACAAAATAAATATTTTTAATTGTAATCAGAATTAAACCTTTAAATACAGATAATTTTGTTTGTAATAATTTTAATCTGCGAAGTTTGGTCACTACATATTTTTTTACACAAAGATATACAAATGAGCTGTCCTATTTCTCATTATTGTTAATTAAAAAAAGAAAACTATTTCATGTTTTAAATTACAAAATTTGCGCTTTACATAATCAAAATTTTGTCTGCAATACAAGAAAAATGTTTTATAGGAATATATTTTTGTTTCAATTCTAAAAATGATATATTTATTACAGGAAGGGCAATTACAATTTCTTGTCATGATAAACATACTTTGTATGGCAATGGAGAAGTGTCACTATTTTGTGATAACATAGTGTAAAGAAATAAATTTGAAGTAGTCTAAAGGATAAAGTCTCTTTCTTGCTAATCAGGTAAATTATTTTTTGTAATAATTTAATTTTAATAAATGTATGTTTTTGTGCTGTAATATTGTTGTTTGTTTCAAACTGTAATATTACATTATAAATGTTTAAATTTTTAAATATAGCTTATTCACTATGTTTTTCCTTATAAAATATAAAAATATAGTTTTTATATAATTTTATGGCTTCTTCCTAGTTCATTCAAAATAATAGATAGAAAAAAAAATCTAATCAGTATTTTCAAAATGTTTTAAAAAATGTTCAGTATTTCTGCTTGTGATGTATCTACAGGCCCGTCCCTAACCGATTCGAGAGGGGGGGTGTTGAAGTTTATTTTGCCGACTGTCATGTACATATATATATATATATATATATATATATATATACACAATTTGTATATGGCTAAAGCTTGATAATCAAAGGTAAAACAAATCAAATCAAAGAGTTCAAATGCGCCACAAAACTTAAGCTTCCAAAGTTTATTTTGAAATCATTTCGACTAGTTATAAACATAATGCTATTCATCGAAATAATTTTTACAGCACTTAAAAATGCAACCGCCATGGGTGAAAAATGTGGTATTATTGATAACTAAATAGTACCAGCAATTATTCAAAATAATGCAAAGAAAATATACTTTTTACATTTCTATTAATTTTAATTATTAAAATGGTTACAAAATATTAAAGAAAAAAAAACTATTTTTAAATAAGCTGAAACTTATTCAATTAAAATAAGTTTTCAGTAATATTAAGCAATAATTATTTGTGGAAATAATTTTAAAAAATAAAGTTGTAAATTTAAATGTTTTTCAACGCAACTTTGAAATACTTTTTACTTTCTATTTAAATATTTTTTACTTTATATTTAAATATTTTTTGAAAAATCAATTGGTAATTAAAATATATCTTTCGTTTCATTTAAACGTTGTTACCAGAAGCTAATTACAGCAACTGTTTGAAGATGAGAAAGTAAGTCATAATCGGCAAATACAGACTTCTATAAGATATTGATTCAAAACAAAATTCATTCAAAAGTAAATTGACCTTTCATTTTTAAAAAATAAGAAAAAAAATGTAGAAAAACATTGAAAATATTTGCCATTTAAATTATAAATTAAGAAATTCACGTAAAAATGATAAAAAATTAAGATATTAGTAAAATTACGTTATATTATATTAGCTACATAAATTTATTTTGACGTTGTTTTAAAAGCAAAAAATATTCTGCCAACTTATCACGCTTAATATTGTCAACAATATCTTTTTCTGCTTTGAGTAAAAGCAGTGAATTTAGGCGTTCAGTGGTCATTGTTGTTTGAAAATAGTTTTTAATCAATTTCATCTGGCTGAAAATTCTTTCATTTGTTGCAACCCCAAACACCTACTAATGAATAAGAAATCCCTATTGAAGTGACCACCTATTGTATCTTTATCTTAACTGAAAAAGGGAATTTCCATTTTAGCTGGTGAAACATTTTTCAAAAATAAACAATATTTTTTTCATTTGAGTACCACTTCTTTATGCAATTAGGCGGGGGCAAAAAACAACAAATAACCGTTTAAACGGGGGAGTTTAACATTAGTTTCTTCTAAAATGATTTGGTTCCATTAAATTTCATTCTTATAAGCGGGTAATTCGATTATGCGATTAAGTGGGGACGACAGTGCAAAATAACTAAGAAGAATTATTTATTAAAAAAAAACTCAATTTTCTATTTTTAAACACATTACATTTTCAATAAAATTAGCATTAGTACATTTTTCTTCATAAAGGATTGCAGTTTGGACTTATAAAAACAAAGCCTACGAAGAAATATAGAATTTGAAATTTCAATTAAATAAGAACTATAAAAAATAATTTCAGCTGAAAAAATATAAAAAAGAAAAAAAAATACTATTTCAAGCACAAAATAAAAGCTTAGTAAAAAGTAAAAAACAGAAAAAGAATTCTAATTTTCAGAATTCAAATGTGATTTATCTTTTTCTATCCCTAGCTCCTACTAATGAATATAAATAACATAGCATTTTTAATTGCTCTTTTTTCTTTCTCTTAATTATTTTACTACACAAAAAAGATTAAAAAAATAATTTTATCTGCTTCATAAAAATCAATTTTTACCCGAAATAATTTAATTGGAAAGTAATAACACATTTAATGCAATTTAATTAAACTTAATATTTAAACAATGAGACTACAAATAATAAATATGTATTCATAAAAAAATTATACTTACATTCAAAACTTAGACTGCGGTAGATAGGATGATCGTTGGCATGTGAGCGGATATTCTATTTTATTCAATAATAATATGAATTTATAAAATACGCTTTGAGTAACTAAATACCCGTACTAGACAGTTAAAGACAGGTCAGTGAAGTAATTGGTACCACAGCTGCCTGTGCTTTGAGCCCCTTCCTTCCCCTTTTTAACCACATGGACAAAGATATTGTCTTTATTCTCAGAAGGAGTGAGAGAAAACATGAGAAAATATAGCTTAAGGCATTTCTAGCTAACCACTTTTAAAAGACCCTCGATTTTTCAAGTTGACAGAAATATCCGGGGTTTTGTCTGCTGCTTCACAAGATCGATTCGCAGCACCATCCTTTTTTGCGCCTTTTCATAGTGCCAGTAGCGGCTTGATCAAACAGAATTGCTACTTCTCCGTGAATATTCGGAATTCTCTATTTTCACCTTATTTTTATTGAAATAATTACTGAATCCAAAATTAAAACATTTAGCACTTTGAACTCGGCAACCATTCTCAAATTGTGTGAAATGATCGAAGTGTTGATTCGATTGAGTGTAACTCAATTTAATGTTACAAAATTCTTAGGATTCTTGAAAAAAAAATATTAAAAGCAAAAAACAATATTTTATTTTCAAAACAGAAACTTTTATAAAGGTGAATTGAGGATCACATATATTTTAACTATTTTCCATAGAGAATATCAAATTTTGATGTCATGATAAATTGTTCTAAAGATATGAATTAGTCCCTGAACACTTTATTTTAGGTTAAAAAATTTTGAACTCAAGTAATAATCCGATCATCATAGAATTTTAAAAGTTATGAACTGAATGGTAGCTAACAAATTAAATGTTTTTATTTTCTTTTTTGGAGTTAGGAGTCCTTTGGAGTTAGTAAAATTCTTCATAATAGAAAAATAGCGTTTACTAATTGAAAATATAAATTATTTAATAATTTGTGTTATTTAAACAGAATTTCACAATTTAAATAAGATATTTTGAATAATAAAGTATCCTATTTAATAGGTGCTCTTATTTGTAATTTTTCTCTATATTTTGAAAGTGAAAAAAAAGATTTGACAAGATTTGTCGAGTCGGGTCTGGGATCCCGAAACGAAATTCAGATAACATTGAAATCCGTTTAAATCTCATCACCGATGAAATATCCGACAATGAAAGAATTTTGGCAAAGTCGGGATTTTGGCTTGTAAAAAAAAAAAAAAATGCCGACTCAACCTGAATTTGCCGACTGGATGATATCGCTGGGGGGGGGGGGAGTCACCCCTCACCCCGTTGGGGACGGGCCTGTGTATCTACCACTACAAAAATACAATTGCAATTCACAAGTATTAGGACATGTTTAATTTATTCTATGTCGGGGTACCTTTTCGTAGATGATGGTTGACATTGTCAATATGACTCTACCCACATTGGTGACCTTCAGACATGATGTGAACGTACCTGCCTTGACAGAAATTCGCTTTTTCGATTCGCACTTGCCTACTAAGATGGATGGTCCCTATTGAACAGTTGACTTGCTACTTGTGACTACGATATTGACATTACCCACCTCCTCGCGCTGTTGCTTGCTAAAGGCAATGCAGGAGTGACAACGGCCATGAACTTAATACAGCTCTCAAAAGTTTGGTGATCTTAATACAGCTCTCATGATCAGCGTTCAAAAGTACGGAGATGTTAATACAGCTCTCCTGGCTTTTCACGAAACAGCAATGAATCAACTAGTGGTATCCATTCAGCGAATTCTATCTCAGTTGTAATTCTGTTGTGGGAGTACTGTAGTGTGTCTACCACTACAAAAATGCAATTCTAATTCACTAATATATAAGACATGTTAACTCGATTCCTATGTTGGTGAACCTTTTCATATATGAAGGTTGACCTTGTCGATAACAACTCTTCCCACCCACAGTGTAGTCTTCTAAGATTTCAAAAATAATTGTCTAACCTATAAAAGCAAAAAAACTTTTGGCTCTTCATGTAACATCATAAGTGACAAAGACGTCTCCGAGTGTAACATTGTTTTGAATAGAATTAGTGTGGTAGTGCATGAATTAAAAAAACAACAACTTATTGCTTAGATTGTAAGTAATTTTTACTTCATTAATTAGTGTTTTTGAAGTGTCTTAAATATAGTTTTATTTCTCTTTTATAGCGGTTACATCTAACAAACAGCTAATGTCGGACAATTACTGCAACTTAAGGAGAGGAGAGTTAAAAATCTATCATGGATTTGTGAAGTAGAAGAAAAAATTTATCATAACTTAGATTGATGCTGGAGGTAGACATATTTTGCATTTAATTAGAATTTTCTTTGTTTTTTTATCAAGGAAACTAACTGTTCAATATCCTATCTAAATCTGATTTTCTATTCTTTGTAATTTTTAAAAAACTATTTATTTTAAACAATTTATTTCATAATTTACTTTGCATGATTTTAATTTATAATATCAACTACTTAAGAAAACTTATATTACTGTTTCTGTAAAAATAAATAAATAAATAAATAATAATAATTAAAAACTATAATTCATCTCAGTGTTTGTCAGCTTCTATGTATTAGTTTCTTAGATAACTTGTTATGTATTGGTATTACAAGTTTGCTTTAATATTTTAACTCATATATGAGCTGTTATAATTGAATTTATTAGCTTAAATAAATACATTAGAGAACCAATTATCTAGAATGCTGGAGACTATCGCTATTCCATGTATTTAAATTTCCCAGTTTTCTTGATACCTAAAAAATGAGTCAATACCGCTTAACTATATTCCTACTTTAACATTGAATTAAAAAAAAATAAAAAATTGCCGTATGTTAGTGGTTTCAGTATTTTAATTAAAAATATTTGTTTTCACTTAGTGTTAATAGAGTAGAATGTGTAATAATGGTCTGTGTCATGATATACTCATTTCATAAAAGAGTATTGCTACTTATAAATCAATGTGCTTCTCTCAAAAAGTATTGCCTCTTGTAAATCAATATGTTTTTTTGGAAATTCCAGGGAATATTCAGTTTTAAGCTCTTAAAATATTGATATTTTTTTGCAAAAATAAAAGTTTAATAGCTTTATATAAAGAACATATCCTGAAAATTTCAAGAAAATCAAAAATATCCAAACCAGCCTACTTGCCCAATTTTTTTTTTTTGAAAAAAGAAAAGAAAAAAAAAGAAACTGACTCTTGCGCTATTGAAATGCTTAAAATATTTATATAAGTTTTAAAAAGTTTTATTAAAAAAAATTTTTGTGGAATTTTTTAGCAAATTTTACAAATTTTTTATTGGGAAGTAACAGCTTTTACAATCTCGATTTTTTTTTTCTCATATTGTTACATATCATACTGGTGTTTTTTGTTTTTAAATAAATGAAGTCATTTTTAGCCAAAATAATTCAAGTTATTTTTAATTGCACACAAAATTTCTTGACCTCATTTTTTTCTTGTATTTTTTTTAACTTTGTTAATTTTTCTTTAAAAAAAAAACGATCAAGAGGGTGTTTTTTTGTTTTTGGCCAGTATTGAAATAAAGTGGTTAGCCACAATAATTTAAGTTTTTTTTTTTTACAGCACAAAATATAGTTTTGTATCTGAATTTTTACCCTCATTATGTTAAATGCAATATTTTTGAAAATTAAATACATAAATAAAATAAAAATTCAGAAGTTTTTTGTTTTGGTCATTAAAAAATAAAAAGTAGTTTTTAAAATATTAATTAAGATAGTTTAATTAAGAGGATAAATGAAGTGAATTTTTTTTTATTTTTGTCTTTATTAAGAATAATAAGTGACTTTTAACCAAAATAATGAAAGTTTATTTTGTATTATAAAAGCGAAATTTACAGGCCTCAATTTTTTTCTCATATACCTGTATTTTTTTCTCATGCTGTTAAACATTATAGATTTTCATTCAAAACAATGGAAGAGTTTTTTGTTTTGTTTTTGTTCTTGTAAAACTTTAGGAGTTTTTAGCCTAAAAACTTTTTTCACAATTTGAACTTTTTTTCCTGCAATTTCATTATTGTATTGCATTTTCTGTATTCTAACATTTGAATATATATATATATATATATATACAGTAGGGAACCGATTATTCGAAACGATCGGGACCATCGCTATTCTGGATAACTGATTTTTCCGGTTTTCTGAATCGCTACAAAAAGCCGTTTTTTTTATTGTTAATCCCAACTAAAAAAATATATAAATTTGGAAATAATCTTAAAAAGAAGAAAAAACGATGAAGTAATACACTAATGATTATTTCCAAAATGATGGTAAGGTATCTTTCAAAAGAAAAATCCTAAAATCTTATGAGGAAAAAAACATTTTTTAAAAAAATTGGCGGGAAAATTTATCGAATTTCATTCCGGTTTTCTGATTTCCGGGTAACGGGTTCTGTACTGTATATATATATATATATATATATATATTAATTTCAGTTTATTATCTATCAAATCCAGTTATCCTTTCATGTGTCCTTACGTAATGTGCTTACATAACATTATAACTACCCCATATTTTATAAATAAAAAGAATTTTTTAATTGACTTTTAAGGAAAAAAATAAACTGATTAAATACTATATGGAGCAACCACGTTATTGGAGAGCAGAAAGAAAGGGGTGTAGAACTTATAGTGGCATAAAAAAAATCTTGTTTTATTTTGGATAAGCACAACTTCTTAATTTTTGACAAAAAAACACCCTTTTGATTTCTTTTCATTACGAAAAAAATTGAGATCAAGAAACTTTGATTTTAAGCTACAAAAAATCTTGAAGTTTTTTTGAGTAAAAACAAATTTGTATTTTTTTGCTGACCAAAAATGAAAAACACCCTCTTGACTTTTTTTAAATTAAAAAATATCAAATTTAAAATTATGAAAAAAAAATTGAGGTCAATAAATTGTGTTTTTGTGCTGTAGTTTGGCTAAAAATGAATTTTTATTTTTAGACAAGAAACACCCTTTCTATTTTTTTTATGTTTAAAAGTATGATATTTAACATAATGTGAAAAAAAATTGATGGTGAAAGTTATTATTTCCCAGTGAATATTTCTTAAACTTTGCCAAAAAATTCTCCCAAAATTTTTTTTAATAAAACTTTTTAAAAAATAATGTTATATTTGCAGCATTTCAATATCCTAATTACACGGTGTTGACTTTTCCTTTCTAATCATACCAAACTTTAGAAAATTGACTCATAAATGGAGATCAGATATTTTTTACTTACCAGCCACCATGTGTAAGTTATGTCATTTTTGTAAGTTGAGTCAAAGTCTAATCTAGTTTTTGTTCAAAAATTCTGGAAAAAAAATTTTTTTTAGTCATTTTTCTTAAAGATCTTTTCTTCAAAAAATTTTCATAAAAATCAGTGACATGAAAGAAATGGTTGTTTGTTGATTTCACTTGAAATGATTCTAAAATGTAATTTATCCTGAAGTTTTCTTTATAAGTATGTATAATTTTGTAATTATTGATGTAGAAAGTAATGCATTATTTGCTATTTTATGTCTTAAGATACTTTTTTGTGAAATATTATATTGAGATAGCTTTTAAAGAAAGTAAAGCCTTGGCATTATTGTTAACGATCAAAACATACTTAGAGCAGAAATCAACAATAGAGTCAAAATGGCTAATAAGTGTTTCTTCGAACTGAGGAGACAGCTACGTTCGAATAATCTCAGCCAAAACACAAAGTTAAAACTCTATAAGACACTCATACTTCCTGTGCTACTTTATGGAAGTCAAACTTGAACTCTAAATTCAGATTTAGAGTGTATGCTTTCGAAAAAAAGATCCTACGAGCCATCTTTGGTGGAACTCAAGAAAGGGGATGCTGGTTAATCAGATATAACTTCAAGCTTTACCGTCTCTACAAGCAGCTCTAAATTTCACAAATCATCCGCAGTAATAAGCGGAGATGGCTGGACCATCTATGGAGAAGCCCTGAAAATAACGCCATGAGAATAGTCACCTTTAAGAACCTTGAGGGGTCACGCCCCAGAGGCTGACCCCCTACTAGATGACTCAGTGCCATCTCAGGGTGGCCACCCACCTTGAAAACCTGGAGAACCTGGAATTATCAGGGAATTTTTTTAATCTGGGAAAAACCTGGAAATATCAGGGAAATTTGGCTGAAAACCTGGAAAAATCAGGGAATTTTAAAGAGATACTGGAATTTTTTTCAGAAATTTTCTTAAGTTCACTTTGATCTTACTAACTATTTTACTCACTTATTTTAGTCGGAAAGTCTTTGTCTAACGGTCGAAATGTCGCCAATTTAACAATATTTTGCTTACATCAAAACCTGCTTTTTTATAGCCCTGTAAAACTAGGTAAGAACACTGTGCGCAACTCTTCCATGATTGTTTTTTTTTCTCTCATCTGTACTCTAGTCTTAGAAATTTTTTTCATCAGCTACCTATTTGCCTGCACCGTGTGAAGGAGATCTATCTGATTATTATGTGATAGGTAATTTATACTTAATTATTATTTATTATATTTTGTTGTTTGGAATTTGATACTTGTGATACATTTCAGGTACATTTGATACATTTCAGGATAATTTTTTTATAGCTAAGGATAGAAAATATAATATTTATACCGTTTATTTATCTATTTTTGTTTGTCTGTTGATAAAAAGTTTTATTTTTTAGTTACTTATTCTATTTGATTTAATTTTATAAAATTAGGTTAATTTTAATTAAATATGGATTGTGTATTTATTTGTTAGTTTCTTTTTTTAGTTTGATAATTGGTCTTAAATATATATTTATTTTAATAATTTCCTTTTTAAATTAGTATTGCTTAATTAAGTTTCGTAATCTTCTGGTGCTTATCTTTCCCATAATTATTTTTTTTTATCGATGTTAAAATATTACGTTTTAACTGTATATAGGTTTTTTTTTCTAAAAATTTTCCAACATTTTTTAATGCGATTTCACTTCAATCATACGCAGATTATTTTGGTATTTTTATTATTTTTTTACGCCTAAGAACATATTAAAAATAAATTTTTTCTTCTTTTTTTTTTATAATATTGCTTAGTAAATTCCCTTAGTCTTATTTACCCTTTCAGTCACGTTAAAATGATAGTTACTATTATTTCATAAGAGGTGCGAGCAAAGTTAATTGCCAATCGTAATTCAGATGATTTTCTGAGATAAATGAACATTTTTAATGATAGCTTTCGTTTTTTTCGTAGACTACTTTTATATTTTATTTAATTTTGATATTATTAATGAACTAGTTATCTCATTGAAGGTTGATAATAATGATTAAATTTATTTATAAATAATATTTATTGTTTTATTTTTGAAAAATGTTGCATCCGCTAAATATTTGTTGATCGGCCAAATCATTATTTGTTACATCCCTAATCTAAACTATACTAGTCAGTTACATTGAAAATTTTACTTAAAAAAAAGAAAGCTAAAATATGTTTTTAACCATTTTATTTTATCTATTTTTTCTCTTTAAAAAAAAGCTAAAATTTGTTTTTTTTGCATTCCAGCTTAAGCAATTTCAATTTTTTAGGTTTTTGTTGTATTAGTGATTGTAAAAGTTCAAATTATGATTATTATATAAATCTTTCCAAATGAATATTTTTCTTGAATAGATTGTTTTAATGAGACATAATTTTTTAATAAATCTTAATTCTAAATATATATATAGATATATATCTTAATTTTAAATATATATATATTCCTGAATTAGTATAGAAAGTAAAATCTAAAATTTAATATTTTGCTTAATTATTTTGCTCTCCTTATCAAACAAGGAGAAAGTCTATTTGTCTATAGTTTCGTATACCAGTATTTCTGTGTGTTTTAATCTATTATAATATAATCATTTTCAACTAATTTTGTATGATTTTATTTAAAAAAAAAGACAAAAATGCTATCCCTAAGAAAATCTTAAAGTAGGGTAAATCTTTAAAACTCTTACATCTAATGTAAATCTCACAAGGAATCATTGTGTACTTTTGCTTTGTCATCTATACATATTTTATAATCTAAAATATATAAAATTTCCTCTTATTTCCAGATTGCTGAATTTTTAATGCAATATGAAATGTACATTTCAAAAAGCCTGGCTTTTAGATGATGCATTTTCCTCATGGTTGGAAGCTATGCCTGATAAATTTACAGCATATTGCAAACTTTGCAAATCATCATTTAATCTCAGCAACATGGGGAAGCAAGCTGTGCTTAGTCACACAAAAGGAAAGAAGCATGATGAAGCTGTTAAAGCTTCATCCTCTCTTAAAGTGAAAGATTTTTTCTCAATGAGTCAGAAAAATTCTGAAAATAATTCATCCTGCATAACAATAGAAGAAGCAAATGCTTTTGATGCAAGTGACCAATTAGAATTAAAAAATTTAGAGCAAAAAAAATGTGAAAATCAAAGTGTTGCAAAATTTTTAATACCTGACTCAGTTACTAAAGCTGAAATACTTTGGTGCCTCTTAACTGTAAAGGAACACTTATCCTTTCGAACAGCATCAAGACAGCTGAAATTCTGTAAAGTGCTATTTTCAGATAGCAAACTTGCTGACAAAATGCACTTAGGAAAAACCAAAATTGCATGCACCATAACACATGGTCTTGGACCCTATCTTAAAAACTGATATTTTAAAATCATTCTTGGCAGGATTATCTGAAATTGACTTAAAAAAAGTTGTCCAAGTGTCAATAAATGGATCAAATGTAAATTTAAAATTCTTAAAAATTTTGCGGGATGATTTAAAGTCTTCACCCATAGACCCTGTTATTTTAGAACTTGGAAGTTGTGAGCTCCATTCAGTTCATTGTGGCTTTAAAGCTGCTGTGAAAATAACTGATTGGGGAATTACAGAATTCTTAAGAGCTATATATAATTTGTTTAAAGATGTCCCTGCACGTAGAGCCGATTATATCAGTTACACAGGGAGCAAAATATTCCCTAAGAAATTTTGTACTGTTCGATGGGTAGAAAATGTAGATGTTCTGTCACGTGCAATTGAAATTTTGCCAAACATCACCAAGTACGTCGAATGCGCTATGTCTAACAAAAAAATCCCTCCATGTAGAAGTTTTGAAACGGTAATGAAAGCTACAAAAGATCATCTAATGGAGTGTAAATTAATTTTTGTGAAGTGTTTAGCTCAAGAAGTAGAACCTTTATTGACCACTTTTCAAGATAATGCACCATTAGCATCATTTCTACAAAATGACTTAGAAATACTATTATTAAATCTTGCTCATAAATTCATTAAGGAAGATGTTCTTAAAAAGGTATCAATAACAAAGGTTGATTTAGAAACTGACGAAAATCTCAAACCTTTAGAGAATATAAAGTTTAACTATAAAGTTAAAGCTGCTTTGAAAAAAATGTAAAAAATTTCTCAGATTTAATGCTATTTAAATTTAAAAAAGAATGTTCTGCTTTAAGAAAATTATTACAGAAGTTGATAGAATGATCACCACTGAAATGCAAATTGACAAGAGCCATTTCTATATTAGATCCTTCTGTCTTCCTTAACAAAAGTTTAATATATAAACGTCTATCATTATGCATGGAAATTCTTATGAAAAATAATTGGATTTCAGGTAACACTGCTGATAAGGTTGATGCAGAATTTAGAAAAATGTGTTCAAATACGTTTATTATTCAGAAGATGGAAAGTTATACTCTGGAAAGAAGATTAGATAATCATTGGGTAGACATTCTGTCAATGATGCAGTCTTCAATGGAATTACAAAAAATTGTGGAATTTATTCTGATCCTTTCGCATGGAAATGCAAATATAGAAAGAGGATTTTCGATAAATAAAGAATGTATTATTGAAAACCAATCTGAATTAAGTTTGGTTGCATTGCGGCAAGTATATGATACGTTGCAAGGTGATGAGGATGTTGCAACATTTGAAATCAGTAAAGGCATGATTCATGCTGCTCGAAATGCACATGCATTAAATGTTGATTATCTGAAAAGAGAAAAAGAATTAGAAAAAACAAAAGTTCAAAAAACAAGGGAAAGAAAAAGAAAACAGCAGGAATTGAAAGAACTGGAAGCTAAAAAGCTGAAGATAGAAGCAGAAACTTTTAAAGAACTAAATATTGTAGATAAGGAAATAGAAAAACTAAAATAAGAAATATAAAGTTTTAAAAACTTAAGTTAAATATTGTAAAGTGTTATGCATAACTTTTGTATTTGTGAATTTAAAATAATTCATTTTCAGTGTAATAATTTTCCAAGTAAGAACAATAATTAAACTAAAAGCCAACTTGTGGACTTTTCCTGAAGTTTGGAATCTAATTAAATTCGTAAGAAATTAAACCAGTAACCCAAAGTCCCAAATATTCTTTCTCCATAGAAATTTTAAAAAAATTTTATACTTGAAAGTAACTTAGTTCTTAAGATTTAAAAGTGTATACAGATTTTGTGTAAAACAGATTGCTATAGATTGAAATCAATGGTAAATTAATGATATTACTTATAATAATTAAATAAATTTCTTTTAAATTATTGTTGTGTATTGATAATTACTACTCATTTAATATAGATGTTCCATTCATGCATTGAAATAGGGGAACGAATATAAAAATTTGGGAGGATAAAGTTTTTTTAATTAAAAATCTTATTAGGTGCAGAATATAAAATTTTTTAATAATATAAAAAATTCTTTAATTTGTTTTTAAGTGTTTTATTTTTATTTTCAATCTACTTCGCATTATGTCATAATAGGTAAAAGCATTGAAAAAATTCAAGTAGTTTGTTTGCTGGTATTTCCAAACTAATTATTTATCTTGATTAATCCTAATGATTTTTGTCAAGATTATAAGTGAAAAAAATTACATTTTAAATAAAAGACTTAATAATAAAATATTTTTTCTTGGTTTTTGAAAACCACGCGAACCTGGAAATTTTAAGATTTTTACCTGGAAAACCTATAAAAATCAGGGAAATTTGAAACCAGATTTGAGTGGCCACCCTGCATCTAAAATAATTTGAAACCCCTAAAGATTAGAAATAAGAAGGGAGTTTGCCATCGACAGGAGGCGCTGGCATTTGTTAGCTGTTGAGGCTGCCAAGGCCTGCAAGGGGCTGTTGCGCTGACTTTTTTTGTGAAGTATTTTATTATATTGAGATAGCTTTAAAAGAAAGTAAAGTCTGGCAATTTTGAAAATGAAAATTGTTTATCTTTTTAGAATGGAGTGCCAATATGTTGCTACTCAAAGAGGTGGAATTGCTCTATTATATGAAGGACATCGTTATAACAAAGTTCGTGATGGTAAAGAAGGCACCGTTTATTGGAGATGTGCAAGGGATCGACAATGTCCTGGTCGAGCTGTAACTGTTTATAGTCGAATAAAAAAAGCTAATAATAAACACAACCATCCTCCTGATGCATGGCGCAATAAAGTGGATCAAGTTGTATCAGATTTAAAACTTCGCTCTCAAGAAGAAATTACCCCACTTCCTACATTATTCACTGAGACTCTAAAATATTTAGCTGTAAATCCTCAAATGACTACACTTACTGATATTGTACCTTCATTGTCAGCTATCAAAGCTGTGGAACATTCTCAGAATAGAAGAATGCCAGCTCTAGTTCCATTCCGAGAATTGACTCCTGAAGATGACTGGATGTTTATTAATAGTAATATTATTCACTAATTCCCACAATTCATTTCTTTATAATTTTCTTATTTTATATTTTCATTTTTTTTTTTTTTTTTAGTTTTAGATAGACTATTCTTGCTTTTTATTTACAATTTTTTAGTGTTAGCTGAAATTGCTTTAGTTCAGTTGGTTGCCTTGCTAGTTGATTCACTTCTCCATTTTGGCGCATGCAACTTGCTTGATAATTCTTATTGTGTTGCTGGCTGCACATCATTGGAAGTGACTGTTTTGCATGTATGTTTCCTTAATGTCCTGTGCAATGAGAAGGAAAGTTAGAAGCTGAAGTAAGTTCTTTAATTTGCTTAAAATATTTTCTTAAAAATTGCAAAAATAAAAGTGAGATGTTTAGTTATTATTTATTTTTTGCATTCCTGAGTAATCCTGATGAAAGATCTCTTTCTTTTATCATACTCAATATAAAAAATTTCATATTCAGACATGTTTAACTCCCAATAGACTAATTTTTTTAAAAAATTTAATTTGTTCAAAATAGCTTGAAAGTCTGAGAGAACAGGCCTTGTGATTTATTTGGTTTAAATCAGATTTTTTTTTTATTTAAAAATACTTTGAGAATTGTTTTTACAGTTAATAAAAGTTTACAAATATAATTCAGGACTTGTAGCTATCCTTATATTTCTGATTTTGATGCAAAATATTCTGTCCTGATTTTCTGCTTTTTGTCTTGATATTCCTGATTTTAGCGTATCTACAGAATATCCCCTTTTCTTCTAATAAAAATGCAGATTTTTGAATAGTTGACTTGGAGAATTAGATTGACTTACAAATTTGAATTTTTGATGTACCGTATTTTTCGGTGAAAGCGCCGCGGCGCTATGAAAGAAAGTTGTTTTTTTCCTACATGCGGCGCTTCCGACGAAATATTTTTTAGTAGCAAAAAAATTTGTCAATGAAAGTTATTTAAGATGAAAAAATTTTCTGAGAGAAAGACTGTTAAAAAAAATTTTATGACGAAGTCGACGAAATATTCACCCGTATCGCGCTCTGCTGCTGAACATTGCCAATTCTTAGCAAACTTTCGGCAGCAGCCTGTAAGAAAATAAATTAACGAAATAATAATTTTAAGAAAACATCGCATAAGGAGAAAATTTAAAAGGTATGCATCTTGTATTCACCCCCTGCTTTAAGAAAAATCGCAAGCTAGAAATCTACTTAGCGCCTTGGCATTTGTAATTGGAGCGAACAGAAAAGGAGGTAATAGGACCCTAAATCCGACACTCACGGGACTGGCGAAATGCCGCACTTCGGATCTCTTTCGGAAAATCAAATATGGCTCCCAAATATTACTATAATTCAATTACACTGTTAATTTCAGAAAAACCAATAAATTTAGTCAAGTTTCGATTGTAGATTATTATGGGGTGAATTTAAAACTGACCCATCTTAAGAAATTTTATTAATTAAGATAATAATCAATATAATATAATCAAGAAGAAATAATCCGAATCTTCTGAAGAAGAAATAATCCGAATCTTCTGAAGAAGAAATAATCCTTTCTTCTTCGGAGCGAGATCATAGTTTTCGTTTTTTCGTTTAGATAACATTTTGTTTTAACAAAAGACACTTACCTCGCAAGAAAGAAACAAAAAGCTAACAAGGAACTAAAAAAAAAAAGTAACAATTAATGCTAAGAAACTAACAATGAATAACAAGAAAAAACAAGCTGAAAACTAATAACGATAAAAAAAAACAAGCAAACAACTAGAAAAAAACAGCTAACTATTAAAAAAAAACAAATTAGCAGTTAATAGCTAATGAAAAAGTGGCAAAATAAAAAATTACTGAATCGAATAAATATAATTCATTTTGTACTCCACATGGTAGTTTCAATGTTAACTGGGTGTGGCCAATTTATGGTCAAACAGAGGAGGGAAATGTGGGGACAAACCAGTAACGCACAAGCTTAGCTGTCAAGATTGATTGAGCAGTTTTTCCAACTTGCATTTCTTTATTTTGTTCATTGGAAATGCTATGCCTAGGATAACACTCATGTTGAATTATTTTCTTATAAATTTGTTAGTTGATTGGATTTAAATATTCATGCAGTTAAAACTTAATTTTAATGAAGTTTTTAAGGAACCTTTATTAGCGATGATAATAAGTCAAAGAAATCTCAAATAATATTTTATACCAGGGGTGCTTAAAGTGTGCGTCTTGGCACCGACCCATTCAGGTGAGAGCAAAATATCCATGGCCACAATCAGTCTATCTACAAATGATTCATTAAATGGCACATTCTTTTAAATTGGCTTGAAAAACAAATTTTCTTATATTTGATAGAGTTTTGGAAAAAAATGAGTATCCTGTCTCAAGTGAAAAAGTTACCAAGATTTTTATTTCCTTTATTACTTCAAACAAGTTTGAGATAATTTTCAGAAGTTTCTGTTCTAAACAGCAAACATTGGTTAGAAATGTCTTTTTTTTCCCCATGAGTACAGAGCAATAGTTGTATATAACAGAAGCTTATTTGTTAGTCGGTCTTTTTTTGTCTTGGAGTGTTTAATCGTCTGCTGTTGCCCTCTGCGTTAAGTGCTTTTCTTCAAAGCAAGGGTTTACTACGAAAAGACGTGACGAAAAAATTTCAACCCCTTGATTTAGGGATAAATCATTCATTTAAGGTTGAAATGTGTAGTCAGTGGGGAAAATGATGAAAGATGGGTTGCATAGATACACTAAAAGTGGAAAAATGCGCAATGAGCCTTATGAAGAAGTCAAATGGAAATCAAACACCAGGGAAAAGGTAAAAATAACCCCTGTGGCAGAATTTTTTCTGCGACAAACTTCCCGAGCACTGATATTTTGTCTTAAGATACTTTTAATTATAACAATTATTAATTTAAAGTAACAGAAATGTTGTGTTTACATAAGAAAGTATAGAATAAAAATATATAAAACATTTTAATTGTAAAAATAATATTTTTTTAATTCTAATAAAATAGGCGATATTCTCACATTTTGTAGGCAGAAAAGTGCACTAATTATTTCCTCTTTTGAATTTCGTAAATCTTTACACAAATTAAAATTCGTTGATAAATTAAACGATATTAAATTAAAATTCAAACATAAATTAAAAATCTCAAAATCCGTAGATTAATTCCCAAAACGTAGATCACGAATCACGCGAATATAACTCATTAAAAAAGAGATACTCAAATAAGTATGTAAAATATGGTGTTGTTTAAAGAAAAAAATAATGAAAGAAAGATCATCATTTCTAGAGCAAATTATCTTTTTAAACCTTCTCAATTTTTGAATTTTTTTTATTTTACATTAATTTGAAATTTTAGCTGAAGCCAGCCATTGCCGAATTTTTTTGAAATCTCAAATGAGATTGGAAAAATCATGATAATTTCTTTTTTCGCTATGCGCAATAAAGACATCTTGGAAGAAAATTCTGCAGAGGAAAAAAACATTTTTTGAAAAGTTATGTAGAAAAAAAATCCAAAATTTTCCCCTTCCCAAATGAAAAATCTTTCTGCAACGTTATGCACCAATGTTGCTGAAATGCCGCAATTCTGCCACAGGAAAGATAGCCACAATAACATCCGGATTTTAAGAGGCTGGACTGGATTTAAGTGGGAGATGTTCCTTGTTTGATGTAACATGACAAAGATTACATAGGATAATTAACTGGATGATGAATTACAACGTTTGTTTTGTTCTGAAAGTAAACAATCTGATTTTGATAGATTTGATTCAATGTAAGATCGGGAATATTGTAAAATAAATGAAAAGATGGTGATTCATTTTTATTGTGATTAGTTTATCGTTTCCACATTCTCCACTTATGATTGAGGTTGGTTATATATGTTTCTTCTGTAAGTAAGTATCATTCTCAATTCTTTCTTTTTCTAATAAGTGTCTATAAAAAAAGATTTTTCAGTAATAACTTTTTTAGGTATAAATTTTATGGTTTACAGATTATTATTTTTTAAGTGTAATTTCACGCATGTGGTATTTATTAAGAATCGATGTGGTGCCCACTATTCCCTATTTATAAAGATGTTACCTTCTTTCTTTTAACTATGAATAACTTTTATTTAAATTCAAACTTTAATTATGTATTTGGAAAGAGAACTGTAATCAGATTTATATGTAATACTTCTTATCAATATAATTGAGTAAATCTGATGATGTTTCATACTTTTTTGTTTGGTAGTGAATAAAAATGAAAGTGCAGCCTTTACGGTTGTGCAGCCTATATTATAATTGAAATTATTAAAAATTTTTTGGCAGGCACAGCGATGCGCCGTATCTACTGTAAATTACTGTACTTATTCTATTTAACCTTTTGGATTTTCATAAATTTTTTTTGGTTGCTGAGCAAAAGGTATAATGAAAACTGCGAAACTATTTGCTAAAGTTTGATGATGGTAGAATTGTGCACTGGCATAAAATGAGCAATGAAGGTGCTAAATTTTCAGTTTCAGCTAATTTGAGATGGCAAGGATCCCATCCAATTAGCTGAAATCCCAGGTTACGCATCAGTTTATGTTAATCCTACTCTATATGGTTTTTATCACAATACTCTTTAGCTTGATTGTTTGTTCTTAAGCTAGTTTTATTACCTGCAGAGTAATATTAAACATCTATTCTGTAATTTTTATTATGTGGTCTCCATTCTGCTATCTTTAATTGTTTTAATTCAGATTTAGTATGACCTTTAACATTTTCAACACTATTATCAAAATTGATATCTAAATTATGATGTATAAAAAATAAAGTTTTCATTACAAGGTTTACCAAATAGTGTTTTTTAATTTGGATTAATTAATTTGTTTGATCCTAGTTCTAATGCTGCAAAAAAATTCAAATTTTTATTTTTTATAAAATTTTTATAAATAATAAATACTTAATTGCGTCTGAAAATTATTATAAAGCATTTTACTATTCGTATCTTTCTGACTACTATTGCTTTATTTAGTAAGGTAAGTTTAAAGATAAGTGAAATGATCTATATAACTCAAAATTCCATAGGACACAAAGCTCCGGGTTTGAAAGATTGTGCTATAAAGATTTTCTACTGTATTTATATAGAAAGAAATGCACGCTTGTGAATTAAAAAAAAATTCTTAACATTTAAATCTTTAATGGAGAATGAATATATAGAACAGATTTTGAGAATGGATCACCCATTAATTTGTTCTAGAACTGAAGAACTGTTTATGTTACATCAAATTATAAGATAATTGTATTTGACAACCTTTCTGATTGCCATTTCAACATAATTTTTGATATCAGACTCTGAAATACAGGTGTGTTTGAAAATTGCCAATATTTAATTGATAAACAAAACTTATCAGCTAATATTGTGTCATTTTTTTGTTAAATATTTTTATAAATATTTACCATTTCAAATAAATACAGTCACACTTCTTTTTTTGTTGTAAACTGTAACTGTTCTTTTCTTAGATGCATCAACATCTGAACCTTTAGATATGGCAATGAAAAATACTGGTGTATTATTGAAAAGAATGAGAGCTCTTTTCAAAATTTCTAGTTATGTTTCAGAACCACTGCAAGCATATATCATTCCATGTACAGATGCTCATCAGGTATTTTTATTTCATTACATCAGGTATTATTGCAAAATTTTTTATCATGAGGTTTCAATTATTTCTGAATTTCAGTTATTTGTATCATGAGTTTGATGAGAGTTTTCACATTATTTTTGATTGACTTCTTGTAAAGGAAATTTAGGATGTTGGAATTTTCTTAGAGTATCTTTTGGCATCCTCAATCGTAACTTTCTCATGATGTTGAGTAAACCAGGATCTCTTTACCCAAAGTCGACTGTCTGTTTTCTGTATTTTGAATATATTTCTGAAAAACTCTAACAATTAAACTATATGCATCTTTTTAATCATTAAATTAATCAAGTCCCGCAGTGGACTGATCGTTAAGACACAGTTCCCAGCAGATCACCAAAGTCAAGTATCACTGGGTGTGGACAGTGTGCGGGTGGGTGACCACTTGGATCAGTCTGCGTAGGGACTGAGGGTGTGCGGTATTGGTAAATGTTAAATTGTTCTACTGTAAAGTGCTCGACTTAGCTTTCAAGTTATAATGTCGGCCTACTGAAATGAGGGGGGGGGGGCATCACTTCTGTAGAGGATCAAAATTGTGATGGCATGGCTTTGAATCATCCTCAGGGATGTTTCCCTGACCGCCGCCTACAAATTAATCCAGAGCTATAAACTATAGAAGCCACATATCCATTTAAATTTTGACCCAAAGTTATCCTACCTATAATAAAAAATATTGTTGTAAGAGCATAAGAAAACACATATTTCACTGACACTTAAAACAGTGTTTTTCAGTTTATGTTTTATGGAATATGTTATCAAGTGTGCATATTATATAAAAATGAGCATAATATATTTATTTAAAATCTTATTGTTAATGATATCAAATCTACTTTTGTCCAAATATATTTTTCCTAAACTGATTTTTATGTATAAATTATCTTGAAATTTTTAACCCAGAATATTATTATAATACTTTATTTGAACTTTATTACTTCTATCTGTTGTTTCTAAATTAATGTACTAAAAATCAACTTTGTTTCTCAATCAAAATCAAAAAGAGTTTTGATTTCCATATGCAAGCTTTTTTTAATTGCTTATTGAGTGGGTATCTTAAAATTTTGTTTCATAATGTGTAGGACTAGGTTTTTTTGCACAAATGAGTTATTTGGTATCTCAAATTAGTCTAACAGTTTTAAAATATTTATTGCAGTAAAACATTAAAAAATAAAGTAGAAAAACAATTCTTGCAGCAAATATATCTGATAAGGCATAACTTTTTCTCCCAGAGATCTTGATTTTAGTTCATAAGTTTTCCTGTAGAGGTAAGTGATTGTTAGTCCCTTCTACTGTTTTGCTTTAATATATAATAATTTTGTTCTCTAATGATGACTTGTGATAGGTGATGCTGTACATTTTAAGAATATTTTAATGTGATTTTCATTTAAAAAAAAATTATTTACATCTTTAGGACTTATAGTCAGTGCCGTGTGCTGAGAAACTTTTAAATTTAAAGCAGGTTCTCTAGGAGGAAAAATGTATGCACGAACACATAAATTTACTGCAAACATTGTTTATAAACCTTAATCATTTTCCTGTTATTGATTTTTAAAAACCGTCAGTCTAATTTAAGACACTCCGTCCACAAAATTTTGTCCCAGTTATGATAATTTTATATCCTTATTCTTTGTAATAATTTAGTAGAAATTTTTTTAGAATAGCATTACCCTTTAAATATTTAATCATTAACGACTTTACATTTGTGAATATACATAATAATTAAAGACTTTAATCATATTATTTTTTAACGTGTGAGTAATTTAAACATAATGAAAATTTGTTTTGAGAGATAAGATAACAGTAATTAGTATACTTATAATTTTAACATATTTTCATCATATGAATTACTACAGTTTTTAATTTATTATTGTGATTACTATTTTTTAAATAAAATTTTTTTAACCTTTTAAGTGTTTTTTTTTATTTTCTTTCTTTTTTTTTATTTAATTTAGAGTGAATATCTTGTTCCTTGTGACAGACGTCGAGCTTTTATCTCAGGATTTACTGGTACAACTGGTAAGTTTAGTTAAATAAAGACAACGTTTCCTTGCATATTTCTGTAATGGTTTTAAAAGTTCAAACTGAGTTTATCATATATATCTGCAGATGAAACCTGTATATCTTTCATTTTTATGACTAGTTTATATACAGTACAGAACCCGTTATCCGGAAATCAGAAAACCGGAAAACCAAAAAACCGGAACGAAATTCGATAAATTTTCCCGCCATTTTTTAAAAAAAAATTTTTTTCCTCATAAGATTTTAGGATTTGTCTTTCTTTTCTGAAAGATGTTTACCTTACCATCACTTTGGAAATAATCATTAGTGTCGTTTTTTCTTCTTTTTAAGATTATTTCCAAAAAAAAAATTTTTTTTGTTGGGTTTAACAATGAAAAAAACGGCTTTTTGTGGCGATTCAGAAAACCGGAAAAATCAGTTATCCGGAATAGCGATGGTCCCGATCGTTCCGGATAATCGGTTCCCTACTGTATATAGTTTTGATAAGACAAAAAAATCTTTTTCAAAAATTATTCTGTGAATATTTTTCATCTATTATCTTATGTTTCTACAATGCATTCTTTACTTGAGTTTCCATTAATATGAAATATTCCAGAAAAAGAAGAAAATTTTTTTTTTGTTCTATACTTTTGATTTATCTAATTTTGTGTCAGTTAATTTACTGATATCTTATTTTGTAAAACCAACATTACAATTCTTAACAATCTTTTTTTTCTTTAGCAGTCATTTTCTTCTTTTTTCACAGGTATTTTTTTCTGTAAAAACTGTATCTTATGGTTACTAATTATACTTCTAGTTTTGGTGCCTCAGGATATGTTTTAAGACTCAATTTTTTTCAAGCAAAAAATTATTTAAGTGCAGCAACAACTGCTAATAATAATTTAAGAAATATAGAAGATATTTACTCAGGAAAATTTAATTTTGACTTGATTAATACGCATTTATTTGATATAAATTAATTATCGTTAGATCTAGTAATAAATTGACCATATAGAACATTAAAAAAAGAAACCGAACACCAAAAGTGTTCGGTTTGAAAACATAAATAAATAAAAAATTTCATACTGAGCTTCCGGGTTTACTCAAACTGATGAAATCTTCAGGTTAAAGTTAGTTTACTCTGGGTTCGACTAACACACAGTTACGTGCGTGGTAAAATGAGATTTTGGAATCTAACCTGGAGTTGCTCTCGTAAAGCCTGTTTTGAACTGTGAATGAGGGTTAGTTTCCATGGTGAATTCAGACATAAGTGATAAAGTGTTTTTTAAATATCTAAATCCATAGCAATGTAAATTTAATACCATTATTATAAATTTATAGGACCCATTACAACTTTGTATAAACTGCTGATGACTTTTGAAGTTTTTTTTAAAAAATAACTAATTTGAAAAAAATTTACTAAATTATTTAGGCAAATGGATGATATCACATTATGAATTTATTTGGATTCATTAATTTATTTTTTGAAATTTTTTTTTCCATGAGAGACGTTTGAAAAATAGAAGTAAATGCTATATTGATTTTCTTATATACAAATATTGAGCCATGTCCATTTTCTTATACAGTCGAACCCCGCTATAGTGAACCGTCTGCGGACTCAGTAATGTGTCCACTATAACCGATGGTTCACTATATCCAAATTTTTTGAAGAATATTTTTTGCATAAGACAGTTGAATGATTGAAAATTGGCTTTGCAATTTTGCATAAGTTATTTAAAAAATTATTAACTAATTAACAGATAATAAAGCAAAAATTGATGGAAAAAGTAATTACGTCGCTAAATATTAGTTTTATTTTCACTTTTTATGAAAAAAATTTGTGATTTTTGATTGAACACAATTTGATTTTAAATTGAGTTCATCAATTTTCTTATCTACAATGTGCAAAGAATGCAAGATTTTTACATTTTGAACAAGATTTCGAACCATCTTAACAAAGCATCTCCTACGTTTTCTCTTTGAGCTCCACGCAGTTTTTTCGATGAAACCATGTTTTTGTCGTATGCCGCAAGAATTG